GAATTATAGGTTAAAACATTCAGTGAAGTTACGGATGTGTTCACAAACCTACTATATCTGGTATTAATTTACTATCCGCACTTCTGGTAGTAGTATTCCAAGTTTCAACGATGAAATTGTCACCTGTCCACCATTCAAAGGTTTGTTTTTGATCTACAATGAGGCAAACTTCACAAAGATTGTTCATTCATTGTAATAACATTCTACAATTAAACCTGTGCTATTTTCTTAAAGTGTGTAGTTGTAAGTAAGAGAGTAAAGTGCAGTGGCGTTATAGGAAAGAACAGCTGAGGGGGCCAAGCAGGGGCCGCAAAATTGTTTAGAGGTCCATAGACCATTCTTTCACTATATATAAAACGATAAAAAAGTAGAGTTTATTGTAATAATAGACGGGATGTCTCTATATCCCAAATCATACAATTATTAACGTAAATATTTAAGTAATTTACCTTGAAAGCGATCTCGAGTAATCCAGTGTTGACCTCGAGACATTCGCGATATATCCGGGTGACGTATCAAGCTGGTGAACAGGTTTGTGGTACCGCACTTGGGCATGCCTGCTAAATAGAAATATGGGAGGCATTGCAGCCTTCCAATCGTTCCATACCAGCACGGATTTGTAAATCCTTTATCAAAGCTGAACGGCCCCTTTAAATAATTTAAGCGAGATATTACCCAATACGAATGATACAAAGTTTCCCAAGGACAATAATATCACGTATCGGAGAAGTCCAAAGTATTAAGCCTGCCGCAGACGCTTACGTGACATTTACGATTTTTAAAATCGTAAATTTCAATAGATGGCGCTTATTTAGTAAACTTTTATAATTATATAATTTCAACTTGATAGCTATATAGACTACATTTACTAATATAACAGATAAACTAAAACCAGTGATTCAAATTAAGTGATAATATTATTCATACCTCTTGAAATAAATCCATCTCTGGCCGAGGATGAACGTCTTTATTTAATCCAGTACATGGTAGAAATAACCTATGATCTACCCTCGGCACCTCTCTGCTTCTGATCACGTTCAGAACTTCATGATCCCTTTTTTCTCTTTCTTCAAGAAAAATTTCTTTAATTATATGGTTCACATCATTGCTTAAAAATCCAGATTCATCATTATAAAATTCGTAAACTGTCACCAAGAAAAGAATACATATGACAGCAGTAACTGTTGTAACAAACCTTTTGATTTTTCTAATCCTATACATTTATTTATATAATCTACCAAATTATACTATATCAGGTCAATTCTAAACAAACACGACAAAAACATATAATACTACTTCTTACATGAATAAATAAGTTAAAAATATAAAAATTACAATATTCAATTTTATTATCCGAATAATTTTCTGTGACATATGGGAGAATTTTTGCATATCGTATTGATACTAATGATTTCATATAAAAATAAAATAAATCGATTTTATGGACCTATCTTACTTGTATTCACTGAGGAAAAAGGGGTCACATGTTTGTTCAATATAAATAATACAGTGTATCAGCTCTCAAGAGTAGCCCACTATATCAGGAAAGACTATATTGCAATATTTGCAAAACAAAAAAAGTTAATAATCAAGGATCTGTCGGCTGGTTGTTTTGAGGAAGCGAAAGCGGTTCTTTGGAAACTACATAATATAGCTAACAGCTTCTCTTCTCGGAAGTTAAATCTGATTTAGAGATATGGTCATAAGGACTAATAATTTACGACTGTGTAACTATCATAAGCGATGTTTTCGTATAGACCATGTGAATGGGAACATGTTAATGATGACCATGAAACTTAGTCTTTGATAACTTCCGTTGTTATTATGTTTGCATGAACTGAACTTCCCGGTTGTCATTCTGAAAAGTGTAATTTGCATTCAAATCTTAATAATGTTTATCTGGTATTTTAATGTTTACCAATTTAAACATAAAGGTATAATTACGAAAAATGAGTGCACATGCCCTGCTTCGTTTGTGACAACCGCCGTTGTGCAACTAAAGGGCCAGCTTAGCCATTTTCGGGAGTTGATTTTTGTCTTGAATATATAATAGTCTTTAGAAGTACTAGAAATGTACGAAATTCACATAATTCTTTCAAACATATCTCAAACCGTAGCGTAAAAAGTGAAAATGGTGAATTTAGGGGCGTAGAAGTGTATATGCTTTTTAATTATATTATTACTATATTTACAGTTGATACAAATTTTTCGTTAGTACACTATCATGACAGAGTGTCTCAATAGTGGACTGAATCTCAAAATGTATAAGTATAGTAAACAAGCTTATAAACTTAGATTGCCTAATTATTCAGTGAAATGTTATTTCATAATACGCCCAAACGAGCCGATATTTTCATAAATAGTAGACATTTGCTAAGCATGGGGTCATTCGATGTATTGGTGCCATTTTGAGATATCGTGATCTAGTTACTTCTATTAAGACCGTCCAGCTATTCAAACTCCAGATCTGGAGATCAACTGACCTACCTCGTTCTGTTGTGGGTGGATGGAGACCACAAATCTTTAATGAGAATAGCGACGGTTAGTCGTGAATATTTGGGATATAAAAATACATGATTATAAAAACTTAAGGGTTATTAAATCACGATAGCTTTAAGCTAAAAAGTTGAAACTGTAGCTTGAAAATAGAGCTTGTTTGTCCTATTCAACTTTTGCAAGGCCAATCTTCTTTTCGTCGGATTATCATAAATTCTGTCCATGTGTTGCTTGTTTATTAATGTTTAAATTATTTTGCTTACTCATTTTGTAATAACTAATACAGCTGATCTTTGTATTATAAAATGGATGATATCCATGATCAGAAAGAATGAAAACACACACACCAGTAAAATGACAGACGAGTAACCAAGGGTCTGAGCACTAGGTCTGTCATCTTCTATAGACGATAAGCTATGTAAAGTACTTGATAAATTTCTCTTATCTAATGTCAGGTCTTCCACAAGTTCCTGGATTCGGTCTTTGATATTTTCACCCGATATAACTCTAGACACACATCCACAGGGGCATATTGGTAGATATTTTGATTGTTTCGGAGGATATAAGGTGGGAAATTCTGAAGGGTGCAGAGTTTGAAGAGATTTAGTATTTACCACAACAATAGATTTATCGACGTATCCATTGATTAATGAGGTAAACGATGGCTCGATATCAGAATTTTTGTGAGACGGCATCTCATTGGTGGGTATGAGTTCTTCATAGTTGGTGTATGTACTCACAGATTCGCTAAAATTTTCAGTTAATTCCATTGAGATATCACCTATTAATGTTGTCTCAGGTAGTGTTGAGGAAGGTGTAACAGAATCTGTGTATGAGTCAAAATTTGATAGATCTAAGTTATCTAGTGAATTACTGGAATATTTCAGTGTTTCTGTAAGTTCAACTGTTTCAGTGTAATAAAATGTCGAGCCAGAGAACTGAGTTGTTTCAAGGGAGGGGTGGTTTGATTCGTCAGTTGAGGACTCTGTTTCTGATAATGATTCAGTTGCTTCTATACTGTTATAAAAAGAGACAGTAAATGGAAATGTTTCCGCTGACTCTTCTGATAATTCACTGACAACACTTGTAGCGTCTTGCATAAGTGATGATTTTTCTAGAGCAGTGATGGTTGTTACGTCAGGGTATACATCACTTGAAGACTCTGTAAATGATTCGCTTGCTTCTGTAGTCTCCATAACAGAGACAGTAAATGAAAATGTTTCCGAGGGCTCCCTTACACCAATAGTAGCGTCTTGCATTAGTGATGTTGATTCTTCGACGTGTGTGGATAAACTGACAAAAGTATTTTCACCTAGATTTATTCCTATAAATGTAAAACTATTATGAACAAATTGGCAGCATTAAAAGATAAGTTTGATTGTGGTTCACACGGGCTTTCTGGTATATTTTGGGACTCTTAAAGGGACACGTTCGCTATTTTTTTTGGCGGGGGGTGGTTTGGGTCATGAATATATCATATTATGTGAATAGTCTTCAGAACTATTTGAAATGTACAAAATCGCACAATTCCTTCAAAATGACCAACAAATGAAAATTTCAATTTCTATTTTTCTATATGTCTTTTCTATGTATCAGAGTCTTAAGAAAAGACGACTCACAATTTTAACATTCAAACGCGCAGAGAATTCTGGACACACATGGATTTGAAGGACCAAATTTCAACTATAAGCTGTGAGCACTATTTATGATTACCTAAACCAAAACACTTCCATTTCTGAGACAAAAGTCAAACTGAAGCTAAATCCCAAATACTATTGAGGTATAATATATGATCGAACTTGCCCTTTACTGGCTCTGATAGATTTTAATGCCGTCGCTCTTTTCTTGACTTGTCAGAGGGAAACGCAAATAACAATGCAATATAAACACGATGGAATCAAAATCTATCAATGAAAATCTCTATACTACCGAAATGCTTTCTTACTATCTTATATTAACAATGATGTGGCATCAATTATGGTATTAAATACTTACCACTAGGATGATAGAGTTTTGGAACCTCAACAGACATATTACCAATTCTTAAAGCTTAAAAGATAAACAGGTTTTCAAACACTAAAATTAAATAGATATGTCAATTTCATATTAATACGAATAGTTTGTTGACTTGGTCAATAGTTTGGATTACTTACACCAAATAATACTTGTTGGTTCTCGGTCGGGTGTGAATCTTACTCTTTTACTACCTCTCAACTGAATTAGGGAACTTTTTGTGCCTTCGACCAATAAAATAGTAATACAATACTTTCAAAAAACAATTTTAAAATTTGCCTTGTTTCATTTGCGTTTGTACAAAATAGCAAGTAATACAATAAATATAAAATGCTGCTAACCATGTGAACAACTGTATCTGTAAAACGTAGATTGTAGTTTATTATAGTAATTTTGAGAATTAAAGTAGTAATAGATATCAGATTGATGGTGCGTTTTACAGTAAAAATAAGTTGGGTCGTAGTAGCCGCTGTAAGCTATACAAGTGCTGTTATTTTCACAAATTCGCATGCATCCTTTCCTCGTCGAAAAACTTTGTACAATACCAGAATCTCCTATAGTATTTGGAAACACTTTGAATGCACAAACACCTACAAATAAAAAAAGATTATATCGTTATAAAATTGAACCACAAACACGTTAGATATTTACGACCAGTTCTTATAGACATTATTCAAATTTTGCCTCAAATATGAATATACCTACGTACGATCCATAGGGATGTATTCTGCTTCCCAACTGCGACTATATGATAGTTTTGTCAACAAAAATACTAATAGGCGTTTTACAGATATATGCAGACTTAACTTCTGCCTGGACACTGTTTCAAACATACCTGGTTGTTCACAGACAAATGGATGACTCTTGGTACAGTTATCATCTAACCATCCATGGGAGGAATCGGCAAGATCGACTTGAACACAAGTTCCGGGTATATTGGACGGTTGATTTTCCCATTTGTCCCAGTTTGTAATACCGGTTCCATCTTGCCATAAAAATGTCAGATTGTTGTACCTTCTAAGTCCAAACCAAATTGAAGAAAACCCATAACTGAAGAAGAAGTTGAGAGCAACTTTATAATTCACATTATTGTCACTGATTTAAATAGAAGGGTTTTCAGTAATTCTAATCCCATTTAGAATAATTATAATGAGCTCGGTGAATCAGATAAACGACTTGTTCAAATTGGCTGGGGTGCAAATGAGTAGGCATAACAAATGTAACTGAAAACATGCAAATTACATGAGGTTGATGACCATGTAATACATTTACTTTTTATACTGGCAGCGATAAAAGCAAAAACCTTACAGCAAAGGACGGGCTATATAATCAAAATCTGTAAACTCTTCATGACTTCTATATTCTAAAAGCGATGCTCCAATGTTCGAGCAAACGTCTTTCGCTTCTTGCCATGTAACTGCTCTCTCAAAAATGGTATAAACTATAAATGAAACCAACAACAAAAACAGTCGATAAACAATTAAATTAATAATAATAAAATGTAATTAACTAATTCCATGCTTACTCTAAACGTGTTCAACTTCCTCACAATTTAGTCCTCTTAAACATCGAATAAATATTTATTCCAGGACTTAATATCAATATCAATATATATATGTATATATACACATTTTGCGGTGTACAAAAACAGGGTATGCTGATAAAGTTTAGTACGTATTACTGATATATTGTTCCAAAATTATATGAAGTAAAACTTACTAGAACCTGTTGATGAAGTAGTATAACAATTAGAGAATGGTATATTTGTTGATGAGCCAGATGGAAAGACGGTTTTATCTACATCAACTAAAATACAACAATTAAATTTTGAACTTATTGTCGTTTCAAAATAGTAATTTTCGTGAATCATAGTTTGATCAAAAAAACAGAAACTCTTTAACACATAGATTGACAACATCAAAAATTTCACATCACATGAGTGGGCTCCAAAAGCATTTCTGATATTCGACACAGACAGCATCAACCCAAATTCTCCAATGAACGTGATATACCAAAAGCAATTACCTTTCAAGCATTGTTTCTTGAAAAGATAGGAGCCAGTATTTGATGTTTTACCACCATTATCAAAGATTGTAGAATCATTCGATAAATGTAGAATACATGTTTCAGTGTAAATATAGTATGTGACTCCCCAACATTCCATTCCATTCAGTATAGCCTCATCACACAGGCGCAAACAATCATTTTGTCCCATCACAGTTGCATTAAAACTAATACCCTTCGTACCTTTCATGTTGATATACTGAAAATATCGACACCGGCCTAAAATACATAAGAGACACGATGTCGGGTATTGTAGTTTGCAATGTATTTTAAGCGTTCAAAAGTAATTTTTATTTTCAAGACCTTGATCAACCCCATCCCCACCACCAACCGCCCCCTCCCCCTCCCCTCAAAGTGGCAAACCATACCCTTTAAGCGGAGGAATCAGAGATATATACTACTGTCTTATTAGTGTTATAATAATAATATAGAACATACTTCCGTCAGTTTCGCAAACAAAAGACCTCAGATCACTACAAGATGTAACATCCCATCCGAAATTTGTATACAGAATTGCACAATACCGCAAATATCCATTTGTCTGCAAATTAACATACTGTTGTAGTGGCGTACAATCTGTCCAAAAATACTCGACTGTATCTGATCTCATAGCAGCATTATGTAAACCAATGTAAAATGATCCAGTACTGTAATAGACACAACAACAAAAATCACTATTGCGTCTATACTTTATAAGATGTATTACTAATTAGTATCGCACTTATAGATCTCATCAATAAACACAAACATAACCAGTTTCATATACATTGGATAATCTAGGGACTATGTTTACAAACTCGGAACAAAACTTGATCTGTTCATCGAATTATGGCTATTTCGAACTAGATCGAGATTTGACGACGATACACATCCAAACATGATAATAATTGCTGCCTATATCCCGCCGGCAAACTAAACAAATTTAACCCCAGTATCAGCACTGCACTGATGAGGTCCAGAAGGCCGAAACAGTCCTGTTTGCAGTAAAGATATGCTCCTTGGCTCATACCTTGTTGAGCACTCTATCTGGAGTGTACCATTGTCTCCAGCATGTATGCGTGGCTCAATAGTTTGAGCAATAGGGCATGGTTTGATGATACCACATATGCGGGATCATCTGAGGCGGCTGTAAAGCCAAACCTCAACTCCAGTATCAGCACTGCACTGATAAAGCTCAGAAGGCCGAAACAGTCCTCTGTGGCCTCTATAGCGTTCACCAGCCACATTTAACATAATTTTTAAGTGTTTAACGGGTTAATCTCCGTTACCCTTTGACGGTCGAACTTGTCCAAAATCTCTTGGATATAAACGTTCACATCAAATTTTATAAAAATCAGATAAAAACTGTGGCTTCTATTGCGTTCAGCCACAATGAACATAGTTTCAGTGTATCAAGGATTGAAACTCCGTAATGCTTTGTCGAACCGTACACAAATTCAAACTTGTCCAAGATCTTGTTTATATAAACCTACACACTAAATTTTATAAAAATTCGGATGAAAACTTCTATCGCGTTGACCAGCCACATTTAACATGACATGAGGGGTGACGGCCAAATACCTAAAAATGTGGGCGTATAAATATCACGTATTTTCCAACAGCATATTTCCGAAAGATAAGGCCAAATACTAAAATTAAGACATAAGACAGCTTCATGAGAATCACATTATTCAATTTTGTCAAATCTCAATTTCTTATAATACTCAGTACGAATTATTATTTTTGGTTTTGGATCCTATAAATCCGAAAAAACTGTGCCAAATTAAAAAAATCCATGTATCATACATATAATTATAATGAGGTTGCCGAAATATTAGCCTTCAAACGGTAGCATTTAAAGAAAAAAACTCTGACAGTTTATGTGCAAAGACACATTCGAAACTCAGCGAAAGGGCTTAGAATAATGACATTTTATCAAAATTAAATTTGGAGTTATTGCCTCAAAATCGAACAAAAATTTAGAAAAAACGTAATTGAAAATTAATGGTAGCAATGCTCAAAGATGTAATAAGCTCACATAAGAAACGAAAGAAATGTTCAATATGTATACATGCTAGAGTCCAGTATCACTGGTGATTAGGGATTTGACTGAAACACAGTGAATTCTATCAATCACTAACTCATCTATACTAAGCAAGCGCTCGGCAAGTCCTGTAATAATAGAATACAAATACTTACTTGAACACAGATACAATAGAATTACGATCTGTACACAGTTCATCTGAAAATAATAGGACAATATTTTATAGTGACACGAATTATAGCTCACAAAAATAACTTTTACGTCATGCATTTTCACATCAATGGTTGGAATTGCGTAAATTATACGAGTATATAATAAATATAAGAATATATCGCCCAACATTCCAATTCCCCCTTTAGGCTTAAGGAGAGAGACGAGGGCATACATGAATAAGTGCCAGTTAATTCTAGCCCATTGGAAACCGTTTATTTCGAAAGACGAGATGTCTATCTATGAAGGCAACATCACCCCCTAATTATCACGGAGTAAATTGAAACAATTCATTCATTGTAAGTCGTATCACATTTAACATTCTATTCCAGGCCAAATTGTAAGCCTAATAGGCTTCGTCAACTTTAAAGTTTTAAATATATTGAAGCTTACCTTATATTGATGTCTAATTATTACTTTAATTGTCGACTATAAGGGGTTTCCAGATTAATTCAGGTTACCAATTAATGTATAAGATTCTTGCATATTTCTTCAGTTCTAGATTCATTCGTGCTTTGTGGAAATCTCCATCTTTGTGATCAAGTGCTGTTTACCAAACGGGATACTGGGTGGTTTATCAAATCAATAAGTTTCTGACGCTAAATCAAAATCTATGGTATAAAATTGTCCATATCTCCGTATCTCTGGTAAACTTTTGTTTTCAAGACATCGGGTACATTATATTCCAGCCTATGGTATAAACTTTTATCAATAGAAATTACTAATTTGTCAATCAAAAGACTAGGTTTCCTATTTACAGAAAAAAAAACAAACAGATTGTGTCTGGTAACCTGACAGTCTTATTTTGACCAATTTGAATGAGTGAATTTTCAGGAATATCGTCTAAAGCAAGTGCTCTGTTCAATAAAAGATCACATTCAGGTACAGAGATAAATTTTTTAATGATTCAATTCATAACAAAGCGATTTATCCCGAGCTGCCAGATTAAGATTTCAAGAAATTCTACCAAACAATTTTACACTTGAGAATATTTTGCCAATCTAACAAAAAAAAAAAAAAAAAAAAACAGGCAATGATTGACGAAATTTGTATTTAAACGATTGATTGCCATGATTCTAAAACATTATGTATTTAATAGAAAGGCCTCTTACATTTAGTTCATTAATTTGCAACAAAATGTTGTTTAGTACTTTATTTTTTTATGCAAAAACAGAGAAATCTTCATCAGTGAAATCCTCTCAGTAAAATATACAAAACTGAATTATTCAATACAATTTGGGCAATGTAATAACATATTTTATATTTCTCTCAAAAAATCCAAGAGTATATATTCATTTATTCAAACTATTAAGCATGGGCATTTGGGCAAACATTCTTATGGACCTAAAATCTACACTTCGACACTTCTTGCAAACTTAGTGTTAGACAATATATCAGTACAAGCATTAACGTGTGCATCATCAGCTTAACGCCATATAAAAAAAGCATAAGAATTTCCATCATAGTGACAAAAAAACCTTTTTAATGTATAATCGAAAGGAAGCACAGGGATTTCTAATAGATTTATCTGATTTTAACATATATAATCAATTTCATCAAGTGTTGAATTGAGAACACATGTACTTCTCGTTCTCAACAATGCACTGGTCAACTACAATGCTTAATTGATTTTGCTGTATCGAAATGGATTTTATTTATTTGTTTGAGCTCTGTAATAATTTATACATATTAGATCGACATTACACATATTAAATACGATATTTTTAACGACTGCATCCTACAGTTGACTTATGCAGTATGTAATTATGAACGTTTGAAATAACTTGACTAATCATCATGAAAGGCTTCTGTTTTTAATGTTTATTGTGAACTGCGAAAACACATGGTAAATACTTTTTACAAAGAAATTCCATGCAATGTTTGTCTTTTAAACAAGGTTCCGGTTTAACCGGATGCATGAATATGTTGGAATAATTGAACGTTTCTCTATATGATGCCCTGTCCTGGTACCACAAATAAGAGCCGTTTATCATGACAATGTCCTTCTTTTCGGCCAGACCATTTATGATAGTTGGTACAGCAATTTCTAAATACACATTATTGGAATAAAACACGCTTGCAAAATACACAAAATGTTTTGCCAGTACACTTGGTATGTAAAATATATCCGATACTTCATAAAATACTCGATTTAAGCCCCCTGCATTACGAGCCAATGTCTCTAAAAACTTTTTAGCCATAACATCTCTTAGACTAAGATTCCTCACGGTGCCAATTGCTCTTTCAACCGCACTGCGTCCTCGACCACTATTCCAAGGCCACCAATTAGGATTTCTCCATACATCAGGAACAGTTGGTTGTGTTAAATTAGCAGGACGCATGCTTTGTTGAAACCAAATTTTATCAGTTGAGATATTTCGTAAATTCCAAATATTCAATAATACGTCGTCTGCAACATGAAAATAACCGTCTACATCGTAGTTCATTTTAATAGCTAATTGCACACATTGATAACCTTGTTCACCATTAGAGAACCCTCCAGCTTCAAGTTCAAGGAAGGATACGGGCTTTTTTAATTTATCAAAGGTTAAAAAGAAATTGTTAATATCTGTTCCACAGTAAAGTATATGTTTAAAATAAGGACGATATATAGATTCTAGATAGTCCAGTGACTGATAATGTCCTGCTCTATTAAAAACAATGACTAATAATATATTAAGAGGTTCAAACGTTACAGTACTCGGCTGCACCTTGTGACATTTTGATATACCTTTCACACAGATTGATTTAAATGTGTCATCCAGATTGTCAATGGGATTCATATAAGATGGAATATGAAAAACATTGTACGAAGGTTCAAGTGATTCTTGTTTGTGGTCTAGTTGGACTAAGGCTGGTTGTTCATAACCATTATTAAGCAAATGATCTAACCATTCAGCCACAGACTGATATTCAACTGTTCGCAAAATGGATTTTTCGATCATGAAATTTGTCAATGATAAAACACAGGAGAAAAACGTAGATCTTTCCGTACACTTCCAAGATTTTAGATATGTCGGCATACGCGGAATAGATGTCTCCCGACAATCCAATACACCTTGATTAAGGCCTGGAATATACATAACTGATTCACCAAGTTCTTGTAAAAGCTTCTGAACCCATACAGACCAGACCGATTCATTTTTAAAGGAAACAAAAGCCCAGAACGCATCATATCTAAACAGTATATTATCTATGACTATCGATACAAGCGTATCAAAAGGGAGAAAAATTGGTGGCGCCTGTTCTTGAAAAGAAGTTGCTCTTTTAGATGGTTCAATGATCTTTTGCAGTGAAGAAGTTTTCCATACACCATGTCTATAAGAAAAGTCTGTTTTCTTATTGAATTTATTCGTGTCCACTGGTTCGTAAAAATGATAAGATAATGGATTATTTAATGATCCGTTATATCTTAAAACAGATGTATAATCTTCAAAAGAAAATTTCCGTAAAAGCTTTGTTCTATTCGTGTCAAAGGGGGAAGACAGAAAGATAGATCGTGCTCCGTGATTTAATGCAATTATAACTGACGACTGTAAACCATTTAATTTGAAACTACACCTGAAATAGTCATAATATATTTCGATAAATATCCTTCTAACAATCTATTTCTGAAGTGTAGAATGTACGTAAACATCCAGTGTTAATGCATAGATACTGTTCAGAAATTACACTTTCAAAGGTTAATTAACCTTCATGAAGAGACAATTATTGATTTACTATTTGTTTGCCAAATCTTCTTCACATCAAAAAATGGACAAATGACAAAACCCCTTAAGATACATTACTACAGCAGTGGGTTACTTGTTGCTCTGCGATCACTTTTACTAGATATGGCGCACCGGATATATTTTTCATGTCTTGCATGCCAAAATTCGATAATATTAGTTGAAGTAAGGATCAATTCCTTCTTTACGACCAAATGTTATCCGTTTACGCTGAAACCATTAGTACAAAAATCAATAATTATGAAAAGAAAGAATAACGAAAATCATGTTACTTAGTTGTAACAGAATATCAAATCATACTTTTGTTTTGAAGGTAATATAAAAATATTCCAATCAATTTTCTTTCCAATATGTAATGAACCTGGATTTTTGGTAAATATCAATTTATGGTTACTTCCATCCATTCTGAAACATAGAAATCAATCAACTATAACTCTTTATTTTATATTTTTCTTTCTTAAAAAAGTAATTGTTAGTTTTAATTAAAAGTCTTGTGAATTTTATGTATAGATGAAAGTGCATCACTGAGAATAACTTCCATTGATTTATTCTCTGTCCCACATCAAATAATAGAAAGTGTATTTGATTTACTAAAATAGCTTACCAAGCAAGGTAACATACAGTCAAAGTTAATATACACTTGGCTAATCTATCCACTGCATTATACAACTTAAAAATAAAGTATATCCTATCCAGTAAGTGCAAGATGCAAGATTTAGAAACTCGTTGTGTTAGACGACAAATTGAAAAAAAATATTCTATCTGACTTAAAAACCAATCATCTTTAAATTCAGTTTTGAAACAAACAATAACGAATAAAACAAGACACAAAAATATGTCGAAAAATGCATTATTATTCCATACTTAAATTTGTCTCAATATGATGGTTAAAATTTTTTTATATCGCGCTTGTTGGATGATCAAATGTTGTCAGAAACAATCGATGCTTTTGTATTAAAGAACCTTAGTAACGCAGATGAAAGATGTTAGTGATAACAAAACAGGACACAAAACAAACACGTTTTATCAACAAAAAGTTGATTACGATCAGTAGATTTTCTTAGCAGTGGGCCTATCAGACCTAATCTCTTGTACTAGACAATTTCCTGCGAGAATGCCTGTACGCAAGGGCTTATTCTTTCTGTGCCGATTTCTTGGCTAGATCGAGACATCTGACATCATAGGTTCAGCTACAAGGATATTTACGAACCAGACACACACTTAACTTTAAGAAATTTACGGTCGTCATCATTATCTTATTGAAAAATATACCATGTCCGTATCTGCGATCATCTTGGATATTTTTGTTTTATTTTGTTTGATTACCATTAATAAACATGTAAATGCAAACGTTTTGTTTTTATCACAAAAGTATTTCACCATAATATAATGTTTATTTAATTTTGCATAGCATTAAGTTTTTGCTTTTACCTTCCAATTCGGTGTGAAATATTATGTTGCAATGATGGTTCGTCTCAAATAAAATTGTAATTCACGAATAGCATCTTGCAAGCCAATCTAAGTTCCATTATATTGCTTAAAACCAAACAAAAAGTGAATATAGATATTTTATACGAATCTAGTAAAATCGAGACGTATACAGAGATTGACATCAACTGCAAGAACCGTTCCTTTTATCATCTTGGATGTTTTGTTTCGTACATGATTGTCATGAGTAAACATAAAACTACAACGGTTTGATGTTGTCATGACAAAGGTATGTCGAGTTAACACAATATGTTATTACATTTTCATTTTGTGTTTATGAGCAATGGTGTGCAATTGCTGCTTATTTTGGATTTCTTTTTGCGATTTAGATCGTTAGTACACTTTTTAAATACCCACCTTTGTAGGACATTGAGCATATATCATAAGATTGTATCATATTATATTCTCAACTATTGATGAAATAGTCACAAAGAAGGATATTATGATGCTGGTGATCTAATGACTTGGAAAAATATCAGTTTGTCTCACATGTCCATATTAATTCATAATTAGCTAAATTAGAAGAGTATTACCACCAGAATTCCAATGAGTGACCCGATCAAGAAAGGTCAAAAAGTCTTTTTTTGTTTATCCAGACTGTACATATATGGACATTTATGATTGGTTAAAACTCTTTAGTTATATGCAATAAGAACAAAATGATATGATTAAGAATACATGATAATTCATTAGAAACACCAATTCATCAAAAGTTTGCTTAATTTGACACTAAAAAATAAATGAGGAAACCCATCTTTAAATAAGACTTTCCCTTATTTATCTGATAGTTTTCAATAAAAATGAATCATATTCCGATGAATGTGACTGATATTACTTGCAATTCATCGCAAGATACAAGATACATGATTATCTCTTGTTCAAAGCCAGCCAAACTCAATCTTTATATAACAAACTAACCTCTCAAGTTCATATTTTATCTGATTTCAGATCAGATCAGAGGAAAAATACCCTGCAAATCTAGAAAGTTAATTCCAATTTGTACATGAAGTATTTGTTCCATCCTTCGCATGTATATTTTGAGAGATGCAAACCTGCCTACCCCGAAATCAAAATGTTACCTCGACTGATAAGTTCTGCATGTAATAATTTATGAGCAGAATTCGCCTTGTGACAACATTAACGTCGCATTTTAGTATTTTGGTAACTTAGTTTACCAAATTGCTCCAACGTAGACATAGAAAATAGTTTATCAACTTACTTTATTAAGACATCTTGATGTGGCTTGCTTTTCAAATTTTCCAAAAACAAAGTGAAGGTCGGTATAATGAGTATCAATACAGCCAGTAATTTCCATTTTTTGAATATATAATTCATTTTCGAATCCTATGTATATGGAAATATAAGATAGAAACAAGGTTACCATATGCATTAGAAACATAAAGTCAGTCCTGAGGCCCAATATTTTAGTCGGAATTAAAATATTTTAAAGAAATTTTACTGGTTCTAATACATCTGTTGAAGTGTCACCGATGTTCTAGTTACTCTCATTATTCGTTATAATACCTGCACGAAACATAATTTACACAATGATAATGTTCAGATTAGAGGTATTAGTTGTAAACGGACATGTTTAGAGAAGATCACATTGGACTGGCAGTAACAGATACTATTGGACTGTATCAAAACTTCTAATATTTCTATTAGACATCAACATTGGCATAAATTTACCAACTCTAGAAATTGTGAAAACATTATGTCTTTTGGTGTCCTAGAAACAAAGTTATGACTGAAATATGATTCGGAATATAGAGAATGGCGGCCATTTTGAATTCGGTCCACAAAAATTTCCCCAAAGTGGCACTCGGTGGAAATGTATCAGAAGGTCCGAAGAAGAAAAAACATTGTATGTACTCCAAAACATACTCTGATACTCTGCTACTTGATTAAAATTTAGTATGAATATTATCCTTTAGTGCTATTTAGAGGCAAACGTTATTACTATAATTGGTGACATTTAATTTACGACAGAAAGAAATCAGTCTATTGAAGTTTATTACAAACCTCAATCCTTCCATCTCGTTGCTTTAGTCAAAAATTCTTTGTTGTCGAACGATGCACAAAGGATAGACAAGTACATGTGTGATGGTGTGAACCTGGGAATGTTCAAAGTCCACCAGATTGCTTTACACTTAGTATGTTTTTTTGACGTCCAATAGGTTCTAGAATGCATAACCAAATTAAAGTCGGAACACATTCGTCATTTTTATGTTATTTTAATAGAATTTAACGGAAAAGGAAACTTACTTATAATTAACAAATTTACAATGTATCGTCCTTTTCCCAAAAATGCAACATATAATGTTAGGCAAGTACTTTTGTCACAAGGAGTGTCAGCATTGTACTTTTACTATCTAAACCTGTTGATCTTCTATAATCCACAACCTGCTGTTATAGGATTAGTCATTTTAAAAAGAAATTTGTTTCATTCGGCGACAGTTGTACATCGGTGTGGGATGTCATTTCGAATGACCAAAATCTTACATAAATTTATCCACACATAGAAGCTTTCGCTAAAAGGAAGGGTGTACACCAATGTCTGACAGAACATTAAAACGTAATAGGTAAAGACTTCAAATTTGTGACTAATTGTAAAGGCATTTAATTGGAATGACACAAAGAAAACATGTTTTATTCAGAAAAAATCAAATATTTAACCTATGATATGTGGGATTTGATGTCCCTGTCGTTCAAACTTATTTAAATCTATTGGAGTAAGTTGATATTGGCTACCTTCCTCTTTCATTAATCGATTAATTTCATCATAATAATGATTAATAGAAGTTCCACCTCCTGCCCCGCCACTAGTAAATACAAATAGTAATACTAATTCATCATTGATGATAAAAAAAGAAGGATTTCCACTGTCACCAACTATTTTACTTTCATAATATTCATTTTCAATTGATCCAGTTGCAGGAATTCTTAGACCAATTCCAGTGTTTCTGTAATAGGAGAAATCGGTTACCAAAGCCTTTTCTTCAAAATCCGTGCTCAGAACTGGTAGTCTTGTATTTGAGTTTGGACGAAATTCAGTAATATCTTTTGGCATTACCTTAGAAAATGAGATACCATCAGGAACATCTCTATCTAACATACCAACTACAATATCTCGACCCCAAAATGATTCATGACCTTTCGAAGAATGATTGACGAATTTTATGGCTGCTATTTTTCTTTCTACGACTGTGTTATTCAATGCGACGAATCTTATTGTTGTTCCGACAGGAATATTGTAATGCCTTGCCCATAGTAAATGTCTTCTAGTAACCAAGGTTCCAGCTTTCCTTACTCCATGATTACTATTCCACGGAGATATAGGAGTTAAATCTAAACCATATGCCCAACAGTCTGAATTTCTAATATAAATCTTGTTTGTATGATCTTGTTTTGAATAAATTGGTTTAGCCTTTTCTGAAGTTATACCCCGTGCCTTCGATAATTCCAATCTGTCGTCTATGCTTCTAGCAATAGAATGGTATAAATTTATTTCGAAGTAGTTGAGGGGAGGGAGTTTTGTTAGTGGTGGTCGGGTGTGGTGTTGGACTGTATTATTATTTTCACAGTTGGATCCTATTGATAATACTGTTACATTATGAAGACACGCTGCAGTAAAGAAATTACATCTACAAAAAAATGAAAAAGATAAATAAATAAACATATATTTATGAACAAGCCGTCTGTAAATAAATTATATAATAGCCTACAATTCTATGCAAAAAATCAATATCAAATTGTGTAGACATTACTTGAATGCTGACAATGTCTCATTAAAGGAGCGCATTCACAATCTTAGTCTCACTTTAGTCTCACAGCTTTCCTCGAAATTTGAGCCTTCCTATAATGTGTTTCTTAAATTATCCATGTAGGAAAGTTCCAATGACGACCTGTCTTTTATAGAGACACCGTGTTTGAGTTAAGAAGTTAATGGATGTTTAATAATAACTTTTGCTGTCACTTAACTCGAGGTTGTGATACATTTATTTAACAATATGGTCATTTCCGCTAGAACATGTTCACACAGTAATTTCCTATTCAGCAAGACGTACAATATACAGATAGGAAAGAAACCAATCAAAAAGAAATTTTGCAAGTTATAAATGAAGGAATTATTCGAATTTTCGGACAAAATCTAGTACTCTTAAACGTATCGAAGGCAAAAATCACGCAAAAGCTGCTTATTGCCCTTTAAGTACCCAAACCCCTTCTAGAGAACTTACTGTCCTGTGTACTTCTTTCCGTCACTGGCACAGAAAAGAACATTATCATAACGGGGGTGAGTGGTGTTGCAGTATTTGTTGAAGTACGTACAGTAATCAGCACAAGACACTGAAAATACAAATACATAACACGTTATATCAGCATTTTTAATTAACAAACTTTCAAACTCGCTGACTAGATATATAATTGTAAACATTTTCCATTGAAATTGAAATCGTTGTTTCTTTACCCGTAATATGTGATTTTCGTTATAAGAATATGATAGGAAAAGTACATTTCTATATATATTAAGTGTATATGTTAACATGAAATAGAGAAGAATAACTTAATATTTTGTATAACGTAATGTATTCAGCCTTGTGTTTGATTTACAAAGCTCACTGAAATATACTAACCTACGGAAATTAACACAAAAATTGCAAAAACCAACAATATTATTTCTCCAGGTACAAACTTCATGTTCAGTTAATATGATGCTCACACTCAATTGAATTACAGAACTACTTGAAACTACTCTACATTTTCTTTGTGAAAAAATCAAATGTTCCAAGATAAGAACTAACATTTGATAAGAAAAGTCATAGTATAAACATTAACATCATTAAATTTGGTCACACTATTATCGATTGTTAAAGGAATAGTATCCGAGTAAATGAAACTTTTTCCAGTGGGAAAGAAAATAACTCAAAGATTTAAAGTTAAATTGACATCATCTTTGACGATGCGCACTTTGTTGATCATGATTATGACCTCATTTCGCAATCTGAAATGTATACACAGCAAAAATCAGGGGTGGGGGTTGGGGTGGTGTCCAGTTCTGAGCGAATTTGCGGAACTTGATTTGAGGCTTCATTGCTTAATCTGTGGTTTGCATAGAGCTCTAAAGTGTTCTAAAATGGTTGTCGTCGCAGAGGCTGATATGGATGCTACAAAGGTAAAGTTAGTTATTTCTACAAAGATATCTTTGAAGTTCATCTATATAAACAGTGAATAATATTGGAGACAATACACCTCCCTGTTTCACTCCATTTAAAGGTGTTTGTTGTGAAATTACCCGATCTAATCTGAATTTTCTAATTTAAGTACATTTTAAGAAGAAATCTAGCTAAATAGGACAAATACCTCTACTAAGTAAGAGACGGAATAGTATTTCTCCATTAATGAATAACATTAGTAGTTTTTATTTGTGTCTTATGCCATGTTCTTATCTATCATCTATTAACTTACATACTAACGTTTCTGTTTTCTATTGTAATGTCCCTTACTGCTGTATTGTCTTTATAACATCGTTTTTAGTCAGTTTTGTCTGCGGATAACTGACAGCTCAGGTCGTAAAGCCAATCCAATAAGGAATAAGCAATAAGGAACCCACCTGTAGACTAACATTATCGGAATAAACTATATAAGAACTTCAGTTATATTTTCTATATAACAACCAAGACGATCATGCTTAAAAGAAATGTTTTCTAACATTTCTGTTTAAGTCATTTCGTTCTAATTTCATCATTATATCTCTGTTAAAACCATTAATTGTTCTTAATCATTATCATCATTATACCCTTTAAAGCCATTTGGTTGTTCTTATCTGATCTGTTAACGCAATTATATTGTTCTTATCTCATCAGTATACCTCTATGAAAGCCACCTTTGTTCTTATCTCATCATTATTGCCTCTGTTAAAGCCATTTCTTTGGGTTTTTTTTCTCACCAATATACCCATGAAAAGCCATTTCTTTGTATCACAATTATTGTCTTAGGCACAATTTTTTTTATATAATATACCAGATTTGGATTAAATTGTGTTATTTGATTTTATCAAGGGTTTGATAACAAATAATTTCGTGTAAATCTGTCACGAATGTTCCTTTAGCATCGGTGTACGATGTTTATCACATCCTACAGTTGCCTTCACAATCCCAATATATCATCATTAATTTTAACCTCTTTTTACTTCAAACACTGTTAAAGTTTTTTTGTTGTACTAAGAATATGCCGAAGTGTGAGTATTTGGACGTGATGTACTATCTTTGCTCTGGCTTTTATAAAATCCTATGTTATGCTCTTTATTATCACAGAACATAGAGCATTAACTCAGTCTACTCAACTTAATACACTAGTGTTTTGTTTTGTATATCATACTTATTTCTGAATTTTTATTGATTATATTTGTTATTTGAGCCATTAGAAATTATTAATATATAATTTTATGTTTAAAAACTTAGGGGAGAGCTCCCTACTTAATTCTCTTTCTCTCTCCCTTTTGGGGTTTTTAACGTGAATGAGATGGTAAATTAATCACTGGAATCAGTCCTCATATAAATCATCAAGACATTAAAGTTTAGCAAATGAAATTTACAGAATAACTGTTGTTGTACAGTTGTAAGTATGTAAGTTTTGTAAATTATAACAAAACATTCTTTATGCAAGACTGCTATTCACATGCATCAACGTATACCACCAATTACTTAGTTTGGTTTTCAAGTAGCACATGTCACATGAAAGACTGCACAATACTTGATAACTGACAAATTTAAAGCATCACAGCTATGAAATTAGTATTGAAGTCTGAGCCCTTCTAGATGTTATCGTTTGAATGGGATTGTCTCCCCTTAACTGATTATTTCACATGCTACCATTGTTGTATGTATGTAATTGTATTTGGTTTTGCCTATACTGTATTTAACTTCAACAAATTTAACGCCGTTTGGTTCCTTTAACTAGACCACACAATCAAAAGAATTCATACAAATAGATACCCTAGTTTTTTATTTTACTAAAAAGTTGAAGAATCTCGTTATACGATAATGCATCGGGCAAAAGTTTATATGTGGCTTAACAGTTGAAATATTTAACTTATATTTAGACTTAAAGAGGTGCAAATTGATGACAATTTCTGGCAAAGCATTTATAATCATCACACATCGAGAAGATGAAGAGTAACTAATTGTGCTAGAAAAGATATCTTCGTGACGTAAACAGTTCTTGGTAGAAAAGCCATGTGACTAGTAGGTATTTCATGAAGTGCAAAGTAACTAATTTGCAGTGTTCAGTTCAATGTCACAAATGAAAAACTTGAGAAAATTTGAGACAATAATAATATTGCTGAAATATTTGGGATATTTTGTGTTTCTGAAAGTGACGGAAAATGAGGACTAGTCGGACATCCAGAAAAGAACTTTCTAAAACTTTTGTAGTGTGTGAAAAACTGAACACTCATGGTGGTTCATTGAGGTCCAGAATTCGGATATTTTGAAAAATCATTAAAAAAAAAAGTAATTGTCAATCTATGAACTCCGCCCAATGATTTATGATGAATTGTCGCCCAGGAGAGTGTTCAAAGAGAAATCCTTCACCACTTTTCTGAACTTGAGAAAAAAAATATTCATTGAAATTAATCTTGCTTTTCAGAAAGTGAAAAATTTGTTATAATATCCAGTTCTGCCATTTTCATTTGCATGCGATGGTATGCACTGACTTCGAAGAAAGTGGTACATTTCTCCCTGGCTTTCTCTTAAGCCAAAATCTATCAAAATCATCTGTCAAGGTCTGTAGATTAGTCCAAAACATCTGCCTTGTGGAAGCTTACCTATCATCTAAGCATATTAAAGATCATTTAGTGACAAATGCTTTATGTTTGAAGCAAGATGGACTCAGTACTAAAGATTGTATATTTATTTAGATATTTCTTTGTATTTGCATGTATTTTGGCCTAGATATGAATTTTTTCAGATTTTGGGAAATACAAAGTAAAGTTGTGTTGAAATAGTCGTTTCCTGTAAAGGCAGAAATTTATATCCGGCAATGGTTTACTTTCGAATTGCTAAACATTTACCAAACATTTTCATGGTCATGATATATTGATTTTTTAACGAGATAAAAATTATTGGCCAGGCTTTTATGTGGCGTATTGAAAAATTTTCAATGCAATTTCTTCAAAAAGTTAGAGAATTTCGTGAATTACCATCGAAAGAGGTAGAAATTAAATTTCTGGTGTAAGTCCATAAAGCCGTTTATGAAATAAAAAGTTTTTCTAAAGGCCAGGTCTCTGTCGTACCATGAAATGTTTCTGTATTTGTTTGGTTATTAGTTATATTCCTGATACTGTATTATCATCCAATAGTCTCAATATATTTTCATGATTTCTTGTGCAGAGAAATAACTACTCTCATGTTGATAAAATCCATGATAACAAGACACTTTTCATTTCCGTCTTGACATTAATTACTCTCTCAATTGGTCGTTAGGTGGCGCATAAACACAAGTTTCTCATCAAATCTGACTGATTTTTACCTCCATCAGTAAAGAGTGATAATTGATGATAAAAATGAGTTTATCGGATGGTTTAACTATCGATCACGTGATGAATCTAACAGATTCGCAGTAAATTATATTATCTTTAGAAAATCATACGTCTTCCTGATGTTTGAGGGTAAAGAATAATCTGTTTTCAAATTTATTGATAAATTGAACATTTTAAAGTTTCTATCGAGTTACTATCGCTTTTATTGCTTTTAAAGATCTAATTCCTCAATCTCACTTCCAAGGCCAAATTGTGAGTCGGTCTTTAAGTTTCCATTACACAAATTCAGAACTCACATAATGTCTTTTGAATTTAACATCACTTTGAGTGTCAATCTAACTACAAAATCGTTTACATTGCGCAAGTAGTGTTGAAGCACGTAATCGGTCAATAAAAGATAACAGAGGTATTTGAATCGCCAATCGACCTGGGCACACCTTTTCCACATGCCTATCATCATCCTAGTGGGTGTAGGATTCACTACTTCTGTTGAAAGGTTTCCTTTGTTCAAGGAAAGAGTAACATGAAAATTGATAATGAAATACAGCATGAGAGGCTTTGAAATTCAGCCTCGACAGATGTCCCCCAATTTTGTAAGTCGGCTGGTTGGCGCCGCCACTGCTATTTTGGTACGTTAAAAAATGGTTATTAATCGCAGCTCCAATTGAATATAGCCGACTTATTATATTAATCATTCTCGAATTATATAGCAGCAAGCCTACTTAGATTGGAAAAGGGGAAGGATTAATCCACTCTTTCATGAATGACAGAGTTTCTAAATCATATGTAAATATTACATCAAATAGAATAAATTCCTTTGAAGGAACATTTTTATAAAATAGGCTATTTAAGTCTGTGTATGTACTTGATCAAACTGAATTTGTTTTTAAATGGTTAATTAAAACGGAGTGTACTAGTTCTTAAGTGAGCAGCTTAAACCAGTTTTAGTGTTGGGTCTCAGACTTTTTAGTTGAAATCCATAGAATTCGAAGGAGACATCATTTTTTACAATTAGGCGCAAATTTTGCTGAAATCCGTACAGTTTTCTGCTAACACCTGCAAACAAAAGCACAAAGAACTTAAAAAGTTCAAATAAACCTATTAAATGGTTTGGGCGTTAAAAAATTAACGGCAGGTTTATTTCAGTTGTAATTTTAGATATGTTCAATTAGGACACATTTCTTTAGCTAGATTTTAATGTATAGTTTTCATAAATTTCAGCAAAAATCTTTTCTGACCTACGAAAAAAGCAAAATGCCCCTTTAAAGACAAATTTAAATACCAATATTATCAATATGTTCTTTAAATTAACACTCGTCTCTACCGCATCGGTACGAATTAATTTACTTGTTTATTTCAGAATATTAATTTTCCTCACAAACGTTCACTACCAATCATTGTAGACGAGGCAGAAAGATTAAATTTGACTAAAGACTTCATTGAATGATATTACCAGAACCAATCTGCTAGTTAATCTTTCATTTAATCGCTATTTATTTTATCAGCTGAGATTAAAATAATGATTTTCCCGAATTTAGTGTCAAAAAACAAGTTAGAGGGGCCGATTTGCATTCAGCCGCGAAATACATTCAGTTGCTTCTCTCCTTAACTAAAATCCTTATCAGCATAAAACCACCAAAAACTTCAAGATTAAAGACGTCAGTTGTTTGTGATCTCCCTTGAGGATTCAAACTAATATTTTAAACTTAGCCTTTTTACCTTCTTGTAAAACCCATTAATTTATTTTAAATTACAGAGTTATCTTTTCTTTAATGGTGTCACGTGTCTTGGGATTTGTTTCGATTTACCAGAGCTGTGTTCTGTGCTCAGATAGATTAACTCTCGGGTTATAAGATGTCCTCTACTAAACTGGCATATTCTCACTTAATTTCCGGAGCCTAATAGTCCAATTTTTATCAGACTAGTAGTACAACCGGAGAGAACATCTACGATGTTACCTGTGACCAGCTTAATATAAATATTAAATATGAGTAGCATATGAATTTTGTCCTTTATGCCGATTCGTCAAAAATAAGGTATTAGCATGACTTGGCAATCGCGACTGGAAGTGTTAAATTATTGGCAGCAGTTGGTATAAACCTAGAGAGATGTAATGTGGCGAATCTAACACCTGTTTTTTTAATGGTTTATATATGTCTTTATCATTTGAACAATTTTTTTAACAATTTTAAAATTGAATATTCTCGTTAGAGATAAGTTTCTCGTGGGATATATTTGTTTTGAAATGGTACAAGTAATATAGGTTGTTTGTTCCGCTCAGTTGAGAGTAGCGACATAATCACCTGTCTGTAAATATCTGTTTCTGATTAATGTTTTGTCCCCAACAATTTCTACAACGTTACTAACTAGAGTTTGGGATATATTAATATTTATAGTTCGTAATAAACTGCGTCAAAAGTTTACGTTTTA